GGACAACAAACGAGGGGCTGTGACAAACTGTTTCGTCGGAGTTTCACCGTATAGATTCAAACAGAGCTGCCCAGTAAATATAATATATATCGTCAATATACATATTTTAAACGTCTGACAAATCTACAATCCATACCATCAGGGACAGTTGCAAACACAATAAGGCATATTAGGTCACACACATTCTTTCGCTCCTACACTGGCCGTTAGCGTACCTCTGCCACAGCAAGCCTTGCTTCCAACATCTCAATTCGCTGGAGCAGAGGTCCTTTGCCTTGGAGCTCTTCCATACACTCCTTCGGTGTGAGGGACCATTGGCGACGGTGATTGAACTCCCTGGAAGCACTCTCTGCTGGCCATGGTGACATCACCAGTGCATGCTCTACAGCAGCAAGCTGTAAACAAACAAGGCATGAAGAAGGAATTAAAACTCTTACACCACATGGCATGCGAAAACAAACAAAACATGCAGAAGGACCTTAAAACCTTTACCCCACATGGCATGCAAAAACAGAACTCTTACTCCCCAAATGGCATGCAATGGAATTTAGTCTACAAAATTGCTGCATATTACGAGTTCACGAAACTCCCTTGCGTAGAAAAGAAACTGATGCTCCATGCTTTATATATACAAGGACAACACCAACCCTTAGATTTTTCTACAAGCTACTTGGACACTTCATCTGATTTTGCATGAGGCATCTTATCGATGGTATACTTGGGAGGGGTGCTCCAAGGAGAATGTCAATGCCTGGCTTGATTTCTGCGAGTGCTTGTTGGCTCCTATTGCATGTAAATGAACTTCTTGAACGAGAACGAAACCGAGGGAGGCAACTCCCACTTGAAGAATTGCTCCTCTTTCACCGAAGTGAAAAAAGTTCACAAAACATGTCACCCTCCTTGTTATGTTTGTGGGAATGGAGGCTTGCCCAGGCATCCTCCCATTTTTGTTAATGCTTCATGATAGGAATTTCCCTTGTAGGTACATGTCATCTCAACACACGTGTACACACACACACACACACACACACACACACACACACACACACACACACAGTGCTATGATTTGTGGAGGCCCTGGAGGGAATGAGAGAGAGAATTTGGGGTGCTTTTTTAAACACACACACGCACACACACACACACACACACACACACACACACACACACACACACACACACACACACAATCATTTTTTTGTATGTCGTCCAGACTCGTCCTTGACACGCCATGTTGCTTTTTGTATGTCTTTGGTTTTTGTTCTTGGAAGTCTTTTTTCCCGCTCCATCTCTCACCCAACCTCACTTCCCCGGAAAAAATAAGAAATAAAACAGAACAGACAGCCCTACATTGCCTCCAGCACCCTCCACCCCTCCACCTCACACCCCACCGAGAAATTCTACCCCCCCCACTTGGCTATCCCGCACCTACTATGCTCCCCATTTCTCCGAACATCCTTCCCCCGACACTATACCCCCCCCCATAAGTAGATAAAGGATGATGGTTTAGGGTTTAGCTTTGGAGGGAAAAGCAACTTTTTAAAAATAGAAGCCTAAAACACAGTCTAAGGCTAAAGAGCACTACAGTGCATAGAAAGGTAAGACTAGGGTCATAGATAAGGGCACAGATGAAGGCTGAACTAGCTCTACCAGTAACTCACACGGATCTGACAGCCATACAGCTGAGAGGAAAAGCTCGAGTTAGCCCATATAGGCAGGTTTTCAGCAATTACTAGACAGGTCCATAAATCCGAGAGGTCTCCAAGTCCAAGACTACGTCAAGCAGGCTAACTTAGGCAGGGGTGAAGGGTGGTACATTCCTTGGGAAGTAATCAATGCCGCCTTTCGGGCCTCCCCACCGTAAGGGGGAAGAGCATGAGTACCCATTGTAATAATCTTTGACTTGCCGGTGGAATAGGAACCGGACTGATGCAACAAGGGAAGAAGTGCTCAGACAACCATTATTCTGCAATGCAAGCCTTAAGGATGGACAAGGAAAACCGCTGACACTTTCGGTGACAGACAAGAGGTGGGGAAGATGGCTGGAGCATGGGGTATGGCAGATCAAGCATCTTTGGGAAGAAGGGGAAAGGAGGTGGAAAACGGCCGCAGAACTAAGGAGACAACTGAAAGGATGTCACAAATTACCGGAAAATCTGGGACTGGTTAAGGGAGCCATACCACAAGCATGGAAGCAGTTGCTGCTGCCCGGAAAACAATGGGGTATGGGGGTGCAATGACTTGCTGATTTCGACTGTCGTGATTGACTGCGAGGCTGTACAGTGCACGGTTGTGTTTGCTGTGTTTTTTTGGGCCGCACTGAGGGCCGTCCGCTGTTCTAAAAATAGTCCGAATTGACAGCCGTAGGAGCTGAGTAGTTACCGGCCCTAAGTGGCCTTGAGCCCTAAGTGCAGCAGTAGGACCGATTTCGTAGAGGCCGAGCAGGCCCTAAGTGAAACGGTACCGGTAGCCCTAGGCTAGGGTAGTGTAGAATCTACAAGTAGGTTGAGGTAGGACTGTTCAGGACTTTTTGGCTGTTCATTTTCGGGAAGCAGCGTTTGGAGAAGCCAAGCAAGTTGGCGGTGGCAATTGTCTGCAGGCGGCATCCTGAGACCCTTGCCTAGGGCGGCAGCCATAGCCGACCTTCTGAAG